AAAGTGACCAGAGTGTAAGGAAGTAGAAGGGAAGATGAGTGACTGGAATGGAAGCTGCTAAGAGCCTCAGTTTTCCCAATAGCTTCACCTTAAAAAGTAGTCTGCAACTGTCAGTGACTCCTCTCCCTGCAGACCCCCACCATTCTGGCAAAAGAGAGCTTGAAACAGAAGCAGACAAAAGGTGGAGTAAAAAGAGCATCATTGATCTAATGACATATAATTTCTGCTGGGGGGCTCTTGGGAATGAACGTAATAGACTTCTACATGCATAAAGTCACTGGTTTATTTTTAAATCCACCTTGGAAATGGTGGTTTAATTGAACACTTTATTTCACAATTATAGTATGCTGCATTTTAGTTAATGAAATGATATCAGAGACAGTTTGAGGGGATTTGACGGGGGGGCGTGTATTAAAGAGAAACTCAGGATGGGACTGAGTGGAAGACAATGGAGAATATTATAAAGGAGAGGCAAAAGATGTGCTATGATGGATCTCCATGTTGTCAAAAGCATATCGAGCATGGACCATTCGTTGTTTTGATAGCCAGTTTCAAGCAGAGGTAACACGTGCAACAAACGGTTAGGTTTTGGATTACAGTACCTCACGTTTTTAAGAGCAGATTCAACCTCAACTTTCAAAAGAAATTTTGATGAATACTTGAAGAATGAAATATTGCAATGATGTGGAAAAAGAATGTGATAATGGAATAGGAAAGAACTATCACTGACTGAACAAGCCTCTTGTACAGTTTCAATCTGCCTGATGATTTGACTTAATTCAATGTAGGATTAATTCATCATTTTCTTGACCATAGAAACAGTTGATTCATAGGCCATGTTTGTGAACATTTATAAACACAAGCCAATAGAGCTCATGCCATTATTTTGTAAATCTCACTGGATGTACATCTATAAGTTTTAACAATGAGGGGTCCATGGAAGTTGCCTCTTAATTTGTAAAGTTCTTTAGCCCTTCAAAATTGAATAGTGTATTAAAACTGCCTTAGAATTACCACATTCTTAATTCCTGAGCTGACTAAATGGCTTCAGTTTGAAACAGCAATGATTATACTTGAAGTTTAAATTCTACGCATCAATGACTACATCACTTCATCATCATTCATGACTTAATTCATTTTTGTTTTGGCTTCATTATAAGCTTTTTGCACTCTCCAATGTTTATAAGTTGACATTCCAAATTATTTTCATTTTAGTAGGGTGCCTTCTATGATTGGGGGGAGAAGATCTTAAATATGAATGGTGGCTTTTGTGACTCAGTGGTACTGTCCCTGCCTCTGGGCCAAGAGGCCTGGGTTCAAGTATGACCTGCTCTAGAGGCACATCATAACACACCTGAACAGGACTATTTTGAAATCTTTGTTCTGAGGAACTAGTGCGGTGTCCACTGTATGCCGCTTCTTGATATCGCATGGGGTGAATTGAATTAGCTGATCTCTTGCGTCTGTGATGCTACGATCCTTGGGAGGAGTAGGGCCAAAATGGAACATCAACTTGCCACTTCTGGATGAAGATTTTTACAAATACCTCATCCTTCTCATTTGCACTGTGTTGGACTCCCCATTGTTACTATTGAGAATACTTGTGAAGCCTCCTTCTGTTTAGTTGTTTAATTGTCCACAGTCATTTACAGTTGAATTTGGGTGGACTATAGAGCTTAGATCTGATTTGTTAGTTGCACAATTGTTTTAACTCTTTCCATGATTTTGCATGCAGATAGTTCTGTTGCATCTTCATCAGTTGACCATTTTTAAGTATGCTTGGTCCTGCATGTCTTTGTCCAATCAGGGCTCATCCCCTAGCTCAGTGGTACTGGCTACTGAGCGTAGTACCTGGTTGTGAATTTCCAGATTGTGATTGAATACAATTCTACTGCCCGTGGCCAAAACCATCTCATCCATTCCCAAATTGGAGTCGATAGATCAGTTTGAAATCTATCCCGTTTTAATGTGCTGCACAACATGATAGAGATTATCCTTAATATGAAGACAGAACTTTGCTCCGCTTGGACTGTGCAGTGGTCACTCCAACCATACTGTCATGGACAGATTCCATCTGTGATGGTAGATTGGTGATGATTAAGGCCAGCAAGCTCCTCGCTTCTCCACACTGTTCAGCAGCTCTTGTCGTCTGCCACAGATCCAGTCAGGCAACTCTGTCCTTTGGATTCAGCCAGCTTGCTCTGTAGCGGTATTCCCAAGTGACTGTTCGTAGTGGGTTTTGAAGTCCCCACCCAAAGTACATTGTGCCCTTGCCATCCTTAGCAGTCCTTCCAATTAGTGTCCAACATGGAGCACTGATTCATTAGATGGGTGGGAGGGTCTGCGGTACTTTGTTATTAACGGGAGGCTTTCTTGCCCGTGCTTGACCTAATGCTGTAAGACTTCATTGGATCCTGAACCAACAGTGAGGAATTGCAAGGCAGTCTCTCTTGATTGAATGTCTCTGTGCTGTCACCTCTGGTGGCTTTTCCCATCAGTGGGGCAGGGCATTCAATTAGTCAAGCCATTGATTACAAGATCGAGATGGTTGTGATGGAGCTGTATATAATGTTACTTAGAGCACAGCTGGAGTATTGTATGTAGTTCTGGTAACCACAATACAGGAAGATGTGATTGCGTGAGATATGGTGAAGAAGATATTCGACAGGATATTACAAAAATATAAATTGCTGGAAAAGCTCAGCCGGTCTGGCAGCATCTGTAGAGAGAAATCAATTAAGATTTCAGGTCCAGTGACCCTTCCTCAGAACTCAACTTGAAACATTAACTCTGATTTGTCTCCACAGCTGCTGCCAGATCTGAGCTTTTCCAGCAATTTCTGTTTTTATTTCTGATTTACAGCATCCATAGTTCTTTCAATTTTTTTCAACAAGATGTTGCCTGAGATGGGCAATGAAACAGCGCTTGGTTGAGGTGTACAAAGTTCTGAATGACATTGACAGAGTAGATGGGGAGAATCCTTTCCCCTTAGGTGAGGGGTCAATGCCAATGGGCACACTTTTAAGGTAAGGGGCAGGAGGTTTCGAGAGGATTTGAGGCAATTTTTTTCACCCCTAGAGTTATAGATATCTAGAACTCACTGCCTCAAATGTTGGTAGAGGCAGGAACCCTCAAGACACTTAATAACTAAGCCCGTAAGAAATAGGAACAGGAGTAGGCCTTTCAGCCCTTTGAGTCTGCTCCAGCATTTCCATACGATTAACATTCAATAGGAACTATTTAGGTGAGCTCTTTAAGCACAGTAACTTACGAGGCTATGGGTGAAGTGCTAGATTAAAATGGATGAATGTTCAACCAGTGCAGACATGATGGGCCAAAGAATCTCTTTCCATGCTGTAAAAACTGACCATGAAAAGCACAGGGATGGTTTGCAAGGTCAGTAGGGAGGAGTTTGATACTGTCATTTCCTGTGCCTAGGTCATTGTCGGGTGGTACATCTGATTCCATTTCTTTCTTTAAACTTTATAGTGGTTTGATATAGCCAACTGGTTTGTGAGGCCATTTCAAAGGGCATTTAAGAATTAAACACTTTGCTGTGGGTCAGAAGTCAGTAGAACAGGTCAGGCCAGCAGATATCCTTCCCTGAAGAGCATTCGTGGACCAAATGGGATATTTTATGACAGTCAGCAATAGGTTTTGTGTTTTCAGCAGACTAGCTTTTAATTTCTGATTGATTAACTAGATTGAAATTCCACTCACTGCCGTGACGGGATTTGACCGCATATTCCCAGAGATTTCACTTGGGCCCCTGGCATTTTAGTCCAGCCACTCCTTTGTTCTTGACTTTGTTTCCAGCATTTCTGTTACTCTCTAGTACTTTGCGCAAATGGTTAGTTTTAGGTAATCAAAGTCATAAAACTGGTAGATTGCTCAATGATGCTAAGTTGTCTGTCCACATCCATGCATGTCTTTGCAGCAGGATCTTTGGATAACCAGTTGAGCAAAAGTTTCTTATTCTTATTATATTCAATAAAGTCTACAATATTCAATAGGATCCTCTGGATTTTGGGAAGATCGGTTCATTCCTTAGCAATGGTAACTAACTTGGTGCAATAACATGGGTATTTTTAAAATACAATAGGGTGTTTCACTTGGAGCTGGTGTACTTTGTCGCCGCCTTTGTGCCCTCTGACATAGCATGCTTGGGCGGCTCCCTAGGCAGCAGCAGGCGCAGAGCCACCTGAATTTTCCAGGAGCTGATGGTGCTGCGCTTGTTGTAATGGTGGGAATCTTGTCCCGTGATGTGCTCAAAAATATTGTTGATGAATGAGTTCATCATGCTCGTGGCCTCGGAGGAGATGCCAATGTTGGGGTGAATGTGCGTCATCACTTTCTAAATGTAGATGTAATAACTTTTCTTTCCTGGACATTTTCTTCCTGCCACTCTTCACTGGCGTCCTCTTCACTACTTTCTTAGAGTTTTTCTTGGCAACTTGTCCTTCCCTTTCCTCAACCACGGTGCCAGCCAACTTCATTTTGTCAAAGTATATATCTAGGCAGGCTAGTTGACTGTAGAGAGACCATGGGAGTTTTAGAGTGGGGAAGGAGAAAGAGATTGAAAGCAAAACCAGCCAAGCTAGGAGGAACTGACCATCCTGTCTGAAAGACTCAATTGTGTAGTAGCTTGTACACTTACTATCCGCCATTAAGAGGTTTTATGTACGAGCTGTCCAGTACATATGAGCAGACAGATTGATAGATGGGTGATCTTGATAGGAATTTAAATAATTGATAGATTCAATCTGTGGTGATTGAAACTTATTTGAGAATTGTGTTAAATTAAGATGACTAAAACAGTAATGCAAGCAGGCTTCTCATCTAATTTCACCAGTTCATTGTGCTTTTATTACATATTTGGGATTTCTTTGGGGAGAAAATACTATCTCAAAAAAGTTAATAGGTTCTTTAAGTATTATTTTCAATATGAATGGTTTTGGTTTTTGGTCTCCTGTATACTGATAGATGTTAATATTTTGTAGCAACAAGAAAAATACCCCGGAATCAACTGTTGGAAAGAAAAAAGGCAAAAGGAAACATGAATCTTCCCCTGAAAATTCAGACATGGACAAAACCCCACCTCCATCTCCAACAGAAGAGGATGAACTGGGAGTGCAGGTGAATGCAACCTCAAATTTATAAGTATAAATATAAAATTATGACTGAGAGCCATTTGTATAGCATACATAATTAATGGAATGTTATGACCTTCGTGTGTTTTGTATTGGAATTGATTAATGTACATCTTTTTGTTGCCATTGTTTTCACTTTTGAAATGTTCAGGGAGAAACATTTTCCCGTACCCATGATGGCTTGTTACAGAAGTCTTCTGAAATAATTGGCAACTTTCAAATGGAACTTGTATTATCAGTGCAATCTTGTTATGGGGACAAAAACAAAATGCTGAATGCTGCAAAGTTGCAGTTAAACAGAAAGTCAATGTAATAACCTAATCTCACCAGTTCATTGCACATTAATAGATCAGGCAGCACCTATAAAAAGAAGAAAGTTCAAGTAAGATCATTGACCTGAAATGCAAAGCCAGTTTTCTGTCCCGAAATGTGCTATGTATTAGTATTTCCAGCATCCTTTCTTTTGTTTAAGGGCAATTTCATGTGTCTCTGTTTTGGAAGTAATATTGTAAACCATTATTTGTCCTTTGTACAGACAATTTAGTGAACTGGAGAAAATTCATTAAAATCCTTTCCCAACCAAATATATTTTTAAAAAATGCATGTTTCATTAGTTATAGCGGACAGTAATATCCATTTCCATTCTTTTTAAAGATGGTTACATTGTTGGGAATTTGGGTAAATTTGCCACAATTTAACTATCTGAAGTAAGTGATATCACATCTAAAATTATGACTGAATCCATACTTGCGTATTTACTTTGGAGCAATTTTAAGTTTGTCTAATTTTAAGTTTGATTTGTATTTCTGTACTGTGTGTATTAAGAAGCGAGGGATATAGCTTAATTTGTGACTTCAGAAAATGGTCCTAGTTGGCTGGAAATGTGTATACATGCATTTACTTTAGGTTTCCTTGTGGTGAATAGTGCTTTAGAAAACAGAGTAAAAGAGAGAAAGATCAAGAATGTCTCATGATGCAGTGACAGAGAGAAGCTTTTTCAGTAAAAACAGAACCATCCAGAAAGTTTCTTTTGAAAGAAGCAGGAATTCGGAGAAAAGACCTTTATCGGTGACAACGCAATTTAGCAGCCTCCAAAACAGTCAGGGTAGAAAAAAAGGCATTCTGCGTGGCTTAGAGGTTAATAAGAGAATTGAAGACTGGAAGGAACTTGGGAGGAAGGTCTCCCACAGGGCTGTCAAATGTATGAGTTAAGGAGTAAGTGATGTACATTTTCCCTCCAGGGTATTTTTACCTGGTGTGGCAATGCTTATGATGTGCCTCGTAACAAAAGAACTAGATGTGGGTAATGTGGTATTGAAAGATCCAGCAGATATTTATTACTGCTCAGTAATGTATGCAAATTTGATATTCACAAGCACATCTGTGTTTCACTGATATGCTATTCAATCGTAAAGTATCATGCTTCCATCAGCATGTCATGCTCATGGTCTGTGTTCAAGTCTGAGATATTTATACACTAAGCTCGTATGCTGTAATACAACGTTGATATAATAAGCATGTCTCTGGCAAGCTGTACTAACTGCTGCCTCTGAGACATTAAAAAATTGTAATTGAACTGTTTTATGTTTAAAGTTCCCATGAAGAGATATTAAATGAAGAGCTGAAAAATAAAAACAGTGCTCCATCACTGAGATTTGAGTGTCTGTAAGGTTATTGTTGAGGATAATAAGGTTGAATTTTTTTAATACTTGTAATAAGACCTTTTCAAATTATTCTTGTATAGTGGAAATAGTTTTCATGGTTTGTTGAGCACCCTTCTTGGACAGCTCGTACGCTCTGGTTATTTTTTTTCTCAAACTAGACTTGCATCAGAAGCATAGCCTCTGAACTTAGATTTTTCTTTAATTAGTTTAGTAGGTTCTCTCACGTCATGTCCACATATCAGTTCAAAAGGACTAATCCTGTGGACTCATTAGGGACAGCAAACTGGACAACTTATTCCTTATATATGTAATACACTTTGTTCTTTTGTTTAAAAAAAAGTAAATTGACAGACAGTGAATATGTTCAATGACTGACCACCACATTAAACAAACAGCAAATCATAAAAGAAATCCTGTGGTCTATCAAGTTAGCTTTCACTTGGGGATTCTGACTTGTCTATTATTGCTGTCAGCTGGGATCACAAAGTAGGTGCCCTTGGTGGGATCATAATTTGTTGAATTTAAGGAGGATATATGATCTTTAAAGATGATTATGTGGAAGTACTGAGCATAAAAGTATGACATTTGTCATGAAATGTTTTACATGGCTGGACATTGGAGGATGATTAACTTATTGCGAGGGTATTCCAATTGTCAAAAACTAATTCTGATTGTCCTGTTTGCTGTCCCTAATGAGTCCACAGGATTAGTCCTTTTGAATGGATATGTGGACATGACATAAGAGAACCTACTAAATTAACTAAAAACAATCTATAAATCTAAGTTCAGAGGCTCTACTTCAGATATATGTCTAGTTTCTTAGAGAAACTAACCAAAGAGTACGAGTTGTCCAAGAAGAGTGCTCAACAAATTCTGAAAGCTAGAGCAGATGAAAAGGCCAAAGATTAATTTTGTTGCTGGAAACAAGTTTAGTACTATTACCTGTCTCTGGCAATAATTTAAAGCAAGTTTCACAGGCCCTTATCATATCAAAATGAAACACCATGATGTCAATTTGTAGTTAGTACTGTAGATAGGAGGAATCATCAGCGCATGTGTTGTGTTAATTTGTTAAAGTGATACTGTGACATGGGATATAGCCGGAAGTATATTTATGGTGGTGAAAGAAGTACAGCGAGAACTTAAAACATTTAACTGATTTTTGAGAATGAATCAGGAATTGAAAATTAATCCGGAATTAAAAATTTAAAAGTTAACTCTCTAGTAACCCAAGACAACAAGGTGCAGGGCTGGATGAACACAGCAGGCCAAGCAGCATCA